TAGCTGAGCAACATATGAAGTATTATACAGTCGTAGCACACATAAGGTTTGCAAAATATACTGCGCAAACTCACTTTGTGTGTCAAAAAGGCAGAAAAAACGCTTATTACCACTACACCTGGTACAAGCTAGTGGAAAAATGATCCCACACTAAGGTTCAAAATATGCCTTTTGAAATACCCTGGGATGTCTTCTTTAAGAAAGGGTATGGCTTTATGGGGTATTTGGATTATATAGACTGGTAAAATACTCTAAAATGGGACATGGGCACAGTGTAAACATTTTAAGTTTGAAAAAAACTGAAATGGCTGTGTTCCAAATGTGCCCCTCCGATGTCCTCATATACCTGTCAAAGGTACCTACGGGGGTATTGCTGTACTCAGACAACATAGCTGAGCAACATATGAAGTATTATACAGTGGTAGCACAAATAAAGTTTGCAAAATATACTGCGCAAACTCACTTTGTGTGTCAAAAAGGCAGAAAAAACGCTTATTACCACTACACCTGGTACAAGCTAGCGGAAAAATGATCCCACGCTAAGGTTCAAAATATGCCTTTTGAAATACCCTGGGGTGTCTACTATAAGAAATGGTAGGCCTTTGTGGGGTAGTTTGAATTTAAAACCTGCGAAGATGCTTGGAAATTGCACATAGGCCCAGCGTCAAAATTCAAAGTTCGGTAAAAACTGATATGGCTTGGTCTCCTATATGGTACTGTAGCTTCACAAAATTGTGCCAAAGACATGCATTGGGGTGTCTTTTTACTCAGAAGACTTAGTTGAGCATAATATGGGGGGTTTGAACTTAGTGGCACATATGAAATATACAAAATGCCCAGCAAAAATGCAATCTGTATGTAAAAAATGCACAAAATTATTTTTTACCACATACATTGGCATATATTGGGGAAAAAATGGGGGCATGTTAAGACACAATATGCACCTTATGAGATAACCTGGAGTGTCTACTTTTACAAATGGTAGGCCTTTGTGGGCGGGTTTTTAACAGTCAAACTGTTATAATACCCCAAATGGAAGCAAAGGTTCATTAAATCTGTCTCTCAAAATTCTACTGTGAATACTAAAAAGGACAGGTCTCCTATATGGCACTGTAGCTTCATGAAATGGTGCCTGTAACGGACCGTTTTGCACAAAAGGGGTAAAAACCGTTTAGACGATCGGCCCCCTTTCCAGAGATGCAGGCACAGCTACTGCAGAACACCAAACACACAAACCGCCAATAAGTGAATGCTCCAAACTCCCGAACGGCATCCAATATAGCACTCCAAACAGGTGAACAGGAACCATACGAATTGCTGCTAGCAGACGAATAGGAAAAGCATCCAAGCGGCTTACACTCCTAGCAATCAGTCTCTATCAGCATTCACTAAATCCCCCCCAAAGACGAGACAAGGCTCCGTGTTGAGGGTCAAGCAGTGGTCTGTTTAATGAGGGCTACCTGCCCAGTATTTATGCAGGTCTCCCACCTGGTGGACACTCCTCTAGGGGACCAAATGGGAGACTGTGACAAGGGACAGACAAGCAGACAAATAGGACACACAGTCACAATATATTCTCACAATGCATCCTGGCTTCCTCCCCTCTGCCCTGGGAGATAATTGAGAAATAATTCAATTATCTCCCAAGACAAAGGCAAATCGCCATTATGCACATGGGGATACTAAAACAAGCATTACTGTTAAAATACACCAGGTAAGACACATTCCATTAAAACTATACATTTAACATATCCCCAGATAGCTCAGGTCTGAACGCACATTATTAAGCGAATGGCGCTCAGACCACACGAATACAGTTTAATCGCCATGGAGCCAAAGTCTTTAATTCCACGAACAGGTTCCATGGCAGGCTATCTGGGTACTTGCACACCGAATACAATTGCAGCACTAAAAGTCCCGAATGCTCCGTTGTTCGGTTCCCGAACGGGTTTGCAGACTTCCAGCCTCAGCGGGGCTTGTAAGACAAAAGTGTCCGCTTTTGGTGTCCTGCCGCTGTGTAGAACAAGCGCTGGCTACCCGGGGAGCTTCCATAACACCGCCATCGTGTGGCGGCTAGGTGTAACCGCGACCACCCAGTAATTTTCAATTAAGCTGCAGTTAACCGCAGCTTCAGGGAGGTTAATTGTCGGCACACTCCAGCTCCCAGGTGGTCTATTCATTCGTGCGGTTGTTCGGTAGATTGAATCTACCGAACAACCAGCAGAAAAGCACGAATACAGCTTTTCTGCAGGCGAAACAAAGTCTTTTAACATGGGGCCATAGTCCAAAGGCAGCAGGCGAGCAACCAGGCTTCTCCAATGCAATGTGGCGAGATTGGTCTCGTCACAGTGCCAAAAACATACAATGGGGGTGTCCTTTTACTCAGAAGACTTAGATGAGCATAATTTGGGGTTTTTGAACTTAGTTACACATATGAAATATACAAAATACCCAGCAAAAATGCAATCCGTATGTAAAAAATGCACAAGATTATTTTTTACCACATACTTTGGCATATATTGGTGAAAAAATGGGGGCATGTTAAGGCACAATATGCACCTTATGAGATACCCTGGAGTGTCTACTTTTACAAATGGTAGGCCTTTGTGGGGTTTTCTTGAACAGTCAAACTACTATAATACCCCAAATGGAAGCAAAGGTTCATTAAATCCATCTCTCAAAATTCTACTGTGAATACTGAAAAGGACAGGTCTCCCATATGGCACTGTAACTTCACGAAATAGTGCCAAAGACATACAATGGGGGTGTTATTTTACTCAGCAGATGTAACTGAACACAAAATAAAACTTTGTACAGGAATAGCACACACCAACTTTACAAAATACACATGAGAATTTCTTTGTTATAAGTTTGTGTGCCAAAAACCAAAAAAACACAATTTTACTCCAATATTTAGCAGAGGTTGGCGGTGAAATGGCTACGTAGAAAGTGTCAAAACAACCCTAGGTAAATAGCCTGTGATGTCTACTTTATTTAAATATATACTTTTGTGTGGCAATTTTGTTTTCTTTTATGGCTATTAAGCTTACAAGACAAACATACCAAATTCTAAAATCGCTCCACATTAAAAGTTTATTTTACTCCTTGTGCTTTGTGAACTGTAACTACCAAAAAAAAGTAAAATCCCAGACACATTATGTATTCTGTAAATCAGAACAACTAAATGAATTTATTTTTAATTACTTTCCTTAACCTGCACTAATTATGCACACATTATTATTGCAAAAACTGTAAAAACAAACATAACAATTGAATTTGTTTGCATTTTTCTGTATTTTTTTTATAATAAATAAGCATTTATGTATGTGTGTTACATCAAATTAAAGCCCTTTCTGTCCTTTAAAAACAATATATAATATGTGTTGGTGCAATAAATTTGTAAAATGCAAATTTCAGTTGAACGCAAACAGCAAAAAATTAAATAAATGCTGTTGTCATTAAGTGAAAGACGAGCTTTTGAAGCTCTGTCCTTAAGGGGTTAAGGGGTTAATTATTGTGGCATATTGCTGCTAACAGCTGTAACAGATATTCAGCTAAATATTACATCAATGTTTCGCCATGTAGTGTAAACCTAACCAGGAAATTGGATAAGCTGACAAGTTAAATTGGTAAAAAGATAAATGTGGTAAAATACAAGGATAAAATACACTGCCTGGCCAAAAAAAAAAAAAAGACGCCACCTGGATGTAACTAAGCAAATAGGTAAAAGCCTCCTATTGGATAGTTACTGCATGGACGATTATCTTTTAGCTGGCAACAAGTTATTTAACCCCAACTGATGCAATGAGTAGACATGTGTGATTTGTTTTGTTCCAAATGTGTTAGGGTTAGGGGTTAAGGGTAGGGTAGGGTTAGGGTACTGTTAGGGTAGCGTAGGGTTGGGGTAGGGTTAAGGATAGGGTTGTGGTTAGAGGTAGGGTTATGGTTAGGGTTAGGGTAAGGGTTAGGGGTAGGTAGCCCTAAAGATGTTCCGAATTGCCAAAGTCCCGAATTGCAGAGGTTCCTAACTGAACTGAAGTGCCAAATTGGCGAAGTGACAAATTTTTTCTTACCCAAATTTTCAAACCAAACTGAATTTTCGGATCATGCACATCCCTAGCTTCTCATTTTTTAAACAACCATGTCAAGAGACACATTCCGTGGTCGTGGAAAAGTCTGTTTGAGAAGGGTCAAATCATTGGCATGCATCAATCGGAGAAAACATCTAAGGAGATTGCGGAAACTACTAAAATTGGGTTAAGAATTGTTCAATGCATTATTAAAAACTGGAAGGATAGGGGGGTTGATCACTTAAACGTTTGGTGAAATCAAATCGTAGAAAAACAACAGTAGATCTCAGAGCTATGTTTCATAGTGAAAGTAAGAACATTTCCACATGCACAATTGCGAAGAGAAATCAAGGGATTGGGACTGAACAGCTGTACAGCTTTGAGAACACCACTAATCAGTGAGGCTAATCGGAAAAAAATATAAAGAAACTAATCCTGTGCTCAAACTCCCATTACTCCTGGGCGGCAGCAATGACTATAGTAAACATCAGCCAAAATACATATAGTAAAAACCAAAGAAAAAAAAGTTATCTGCGCTCTTTCCACATCCCTATGTATTTTTAAACAAATGGAGGTTTTTAGTTACCTCCAATGGCCATGAGAGGGTATGCCCACCTGCCACGTCAAAGCAGACCTCTTAGGTGGGTCCTAACTCTAACCATTCGCCTTGCTTCCTTGAGCTTCTGGCAAAAATATCTCTAATGAGACAGAAAGGGGTATTTTTTATATACATCCCCACATGCTTATTAACCCTTAATAGGGAACACATCGGATGGGCAGCAGCATTGCAACCTAGCTGTGTGATACAAAAGTGAATACAAATACAAAGAAACTAGTCCTGCGCTCAAACTCCCATTACTTCTGGGCGGCAGCAATAACTATAGTACACATCAGCCAAAATACATATAGTTAGAACCAAAGAAAAAAGTTACCTGCGCTCTTTCCACATCCCTCATGGCCATTGTAGGTAACTAAAAACCTCAATTTGTTTAAAAATACATAGGGATGTGGAAAGAGCGCAGGTAACTTTTTTTTTTTTTTGGTTTTTACTAATCGGAAAAAAAGGCTTTTATTTGCTAGGGTGCATAAAGATTGGACTCTGGAGCAATGGAAGAAGGTGGTCTGATGTGTCCAGATTTACCCTGTTCTAGAGTGATGGGCGCATCAGGGTAAGAAGAGAGGCAGATGAAGTGATGCACCCATCATGCCTACTGCCTACTGTACAAGCCTGTGGGGGCAGTGCTATGATCTGGGGTTGCTGTAGTTGGTCAGGTCTAGGTTCAGCAACATTGTGTGCGCAAGGAATGAGGCAGCTGACTACCTGAATATTCTGAATGACCAGGTTATTCCATCAATGTTTTTTTTTTTTCCTGATGGCATGGGCATGTTCCAAGATGACAATGCCAGGATTCATCGGGCTCAAATTGTGAAGAGTGGTTCAGGGAGCATGAAACATCATTTTCACACATGGATTGGCCACCACAGAGTCCAGATCTTAACCCCATTGAGAAGGCTTTGCGCAGTGGACAAACTCTCAATTCATCAATACAAGATCTTGGTGAAAAATTAATGCAACACTGGACAGAAATAAATCTTGTGACATTGCAGAAGCTTATCGAAACAATGCCACAACGAATGCATGCTGTAATCAAAGCTAAAGGTGATCCAACTAAATATTAGAGAGTGTGACCTTTTTTTGGTGGCAACTTTTTTTTTGGCCAGGCAGTGTATAACTTTTGTTAAACTTTTCAATTACAAATGTTTATTCAAATACAAGCTTTTATTTCAAAAATTTTATCAAAAGCGAAAAAAAAATCAAAGTCCAAATCTACTTTCCACAATATATAAGCCAAATAATCTTCCTAATATCTCTTTATGTATTATCTGTATTGTTACTGGCCTAATGGAAGATTAAAGCAAGTTTATAATGAAATGCAATAATGTTGTATAACCACCAGGGGTCTCAACAGTTCTTAGATTTCAGACCTATAGGCACTACTAATATCCTGCCACTAGAGGTCGCACTACGACAATATCTATGCTGCTCACAAAATATATAAACCTCTCACACAAAAGAAATCACTAACTCTTAAAGAGAAAATGAGGAATAATGTGACTGCTGCAAAAAGACTACTACTAGGTGCTCTATTACAAAACAACTGACTGTCTACTCTCTGTCTCTGACAAAAAGGGAATTGTAATTGGGGGCACACCCGGAACATGCTTTTTGCAGAAATGGTGCTGCTGTAGTGACCAAAATTTATACGTGATCCAGATTAAGGAACAGCACACACAATAAAACACATTTTGACATTATTTAAGGCCACTTAGTATCAACTATCTCAGCACACATGGGAATATGAAGATTCAGTTCCACCATATGGACACATTGTGTTAAGCCCACCACTACTCCACAGTACCCTGATATTGATGGGTCCTACACTAATTCCAATGTGGGAGACAAATTAATTAGGGGTAAATAAGATAAAGTGTTTTTTAAAATAATCTGTTGTAAGAGCTTTGTGAATATGTATAATGCTAAATTAATGTGACAAACGTAATTCAAAAACACGCAGTGTCAAAACTTACTTCTCTGTCAGTCTCCGCACTGGATTCCTGTTTCATTTATGATTTGGTTCAAAGTTGTCCTGCTTACCTACAATGCTCTCCATAACTGTGCCCCTGCTTTCATCTCCTCCATCATAGGCATATATGCTTCAGTCCGGGCTCTTCACTCCACTGGTGACGTATTATTATACCGTTCTCCTATCAGCATGCCAGATTTACACCTGGAGGACTACTCCAGCATCTGCAGTCCTTCAAAAAAAATCACTGAAAACATACTTCTTCAGAGAAGCCTCTAAGCCAGTGATGGCGAACCTTTGTCCAAACCACAATACATGCCAACTTTTTTTTCCTTAAAGTGCCAACACGGCAATTAAACCTCAATACTGAGGTTTACGTTTAGAAAAACAACTCGTACAGTTGTCCGAACTAATTAACAACTTTTGTTTTAAAAGAACACAACAACAGAGAGTTCAATTATACAAATTTGAAATAATTATATAAATAGATAAAATTAAGCTTATATTTATTAGTATCTCCAACAAATGCAATACATACACACACAGACTGCTGAATACATACACACAGTCTGCTGAATACACACACACAAGACTGCTGAATACATAGACTGATGAGTACACACACACGCAGTCTGCTGAATACACATACAGACAGACTGCTGAGCACACACACACAGACTGCTGAGTACACACACTGCTGAATACACACACACACACAGACTGCTGAATACACGCACACACACAGACTGCTGAATACACGCACATACTGCATTGAGGGGTGGAGTGTATGTATTTGTGTGTGGGGTGTTGTGTGTGTGCTGTGTGTGAGGGGTGCTGTGTGTCTGAGGGTTGCTGTGTGTGTGTGCTGTGTGTGTGTGTGAGGGGTGCTGTGTGTGTGTGTGTGTGTGTGAAGGGTGCTGTGTGTGTGAGGGGTGGTGTGTGTGTGTGTGTGTGTGACGGGTGGTGTGTGTGTGTGTGCTGTGTGTGTGTGTGTGTGTGTGTGTGTGTGTGAGGGGTGTTGTGTGTGTGTGTGTATGAGGGGTGCTGTGTGTGAGTATGGGGGGTGCTGTGTGTGAGAGAGGGGTGCTGTGCTGTGTGGGGGGGTGGGGTGCTGGGCGGGGGTAAAGGTGCTCTGCTGTGGGGGCAAGGGGTGCTGTGTGTGTTGTGGGGGTGCTGTGTGGAGGGGTAGGGGTGCTGTGTTTGGGGGGGTACAGGTGCTGTGTATAGAGGATAGGGGTGCTGTGTGTGGGGGTAGGGCTGCTGTGTGTGTGGGGGGGAGGGGAGGGAAGCTGGGTGTGGGAGGGGTGCTCTGTAGGGGGGTAGGGGTACTATGTGGGGGGGTAGGGGTACTGTGTGTGGGGGGTAGGGGTACACTGTGTGTGTGGGGCTGAGGTAAAGGTGTTTAAAAAAAAAAAAAGTATGCTAAATCAGTATCCCCCCCTTCCCTCCTTCTTACCTTTAATGATGGAGCGGGGGGGGGACAGCCATCTCTGGTGGTCCGTGGTGGCAAGCACTACTTCCGCGATGCTGTGTGGAGCATTGTCATGGTAACGCGCGGCAACGCTCCACACAGCTTGCTTGCAGGAGGACAGGGGAGCTGCTTCACAGATCCCTCCCCCTGCCTCCCGACACGGAAGCAGAGTAGGCGCCTGCTGTTTTGGGCAGGCAGGTGCCTACTCTGCATTGATGGTGAACCTATGGCCGCATGCCCACAGAAAGGGCCTGGCGTGCCACCTGTGGCACGCGTGCCATAGGTTCGCCATCACTGCTCTAAGCTCACCCCTTAACTCCTCATTCCTTACATCCTCCCTCTCATCTCCTTAGACTTTAATCCTGTTTAGACAAGACCTTCTTCACCTGTTTCCTGCATATCAAACATGTTTTGTTAGAATTGTTTGTACCTATTGTACAGTGTTGCAGAATATATTGACTCTATATAAGATAAGTATCTATATGTATTTTTGATCTGTCTCTTTTCCTACTTTTAATTACATTAGTAACACATGAATAGTTCTTGTGGCAGAAATGTTTTGTTTTGAAAGTTTTGTTGAAATTCTCACACTTCCTACTGTCTCGTCACTTTCAAAACTCATAATTTCCAATAGTTTTAAAGGTCCAGTTATGTCTTTATCCAACTAGAGGTACCAAATTTGGTAATAGCTGAGATGATCCTTTGTCCCATTTCTTAATGGACCTTCTTGCTAGCTTTTAGTGTTCTATGTTCATTCTATTCCTTATAATTACATGCTGCCAAAATTGCATGTCTGATTTCTAAACATGTTTTTCTTAAAAGTTGCCTTTTTTGACCACATTAAGGACCTCCAATAAATTTGAACCCAACTGATAATCAATAATATCACCCAATAATGTCCATTTTACTTTGATCTATATTTGGATAATAATCTAAATATAACATTGTTTTGACCTCTAATGTTAATACTGGCAATAACACATGATCATATCTCTAACCTGCTGTTTATTTATGCTTTGCTGTAATTAATAGATTGTTGTATATTTTTACTTGCTTGTGAACTGGCTAAGCGATATAAATGCACAAGTTGCAACCTCATACCCAGCTGACATTGTTTGAAGGACAGGGAGGCCTCTCTCTCCAAACACGCTCTTCCTCGTGGACTCGACTGTGATAATAAATGAGTTCAGGACATATTGCTATTACCAATGAGTATTCTCCTATTTTTTTAGCAGAAGATTTCTAAACTCACCAGTAGGCATGTACGTAACTATTAGCACATAGTAAAAATAGATCTCACTAATTTGTGATATGGTAAAATTATAAAGAATTATAGTTTTCATCATGCAGGAGAAGGTATGTTTACAGGAATACTGAAATTGCAATTTTCAAATGATGCGGAAAAAAAACTGCTGATGTGGACAGTAATCTGTCGAGTCTATTGTCAAGACAAAACGTCAAACTATCAGGGCAAAACTATCCTTCTTATTTGGCAAACTCTTCTTCTTACAAAGCAGGCTTCCCCAAACTCCGGCCCTCCAGATGTTGCTGAACTACAACTCCAATGATTCTATGAATTAAATAGATGAGAATCATGGGAGTTGTAGTTCAGCAATATCTTGAGTGCCGGAGTTTTGGGAAGCCTGTTATAAAGCATTCAGCAGTTTGTCATAACTGTGTTTCCCCTTGCTTGCCACTAAGTGGCACTGTTATCTTATTATATTAAGATGTGCTGACCACTTTGCACTAAGTTGGTCCCGGAGAAACGTGTCTTATCATTTACTGGGGTGTTTAATTTGGTTAAATTATACAGGACAACTAAACGTGTTGGGCAACTGCAAAATGCATTCATTGTATTGATCAATGATCCATACTTGCCCCGTTATTACAGAGAGAAGCTAACACAGATATCTCATATAATGCCATTCACACACTTTTTATGTTCGTCATCATTAGTTAGAACAGA